TTGATTTACACCTTAATTGTTAATTTTCATTAGGGGCAAGAACAAAGTTATGTTTGCCCTGACTGCCATTAAGGGTGTTGGTCGTCGTTATGCCAATCTTGTTTGTAAAAAGGCTGATGTTGATTTAAACAAGAGGTATATTGGAAGGAATGTTTTTAAAATGCAACGTGATAATTCTCGGTTTTAATATTCCTCAACACAATCACAGAGCTGGTGAATTAACAAATGAAGAATTAGAACGTATAGTTTTAATTATCCAAAATCCCACACAATATAAAATTCCAAATTGGTTCTTGAATAGGCAAAAAGACATTGTTGATGGAAAATACTCTCAAGTTTTAGCTAATGGATTGGAATCTAAATTCCGTGAAGATTTAGAAAGATTAAAAAAAATTAGAGCCCATCGCGGTTTGAGACATTTCTGGGGCTTGAGAGTACGTGGTCAACATACGAAAACCACTGGTAGACGTGGTAGAACTGTTGGTGTCTCTAAAAAGAAAGGTATATCGTTTTTTTTTTTTTTTATTTAAAATTGGAATGATGTGTTTAAAAAAATCTTATCTACATTGTCTGAAAGTAACTTTGTTGACACTATATTCTGATCAAACTTTGTTTTTAATATTAATTTCAAATTTATTCAAATTGCACTAATTAAAATTATTAAATTTCAGGTTAATCAAGAAAAGTTACGACCCAAACCTTTTTTCATTACATATCTTGGGGTTTGGGAATCGGGATGTCTATTCATTTGGGATAATAATTAAAACCCAAATATATGTCCCATTTTGTCAAGCTCGAAACAAATCAACTTTGTTAAATCAGTACTATAAATTATTAAAACTATTATTTTCATTTTCAAATTAAGAAAATTAAAAATCTATAAGTGATTTAGCAATTAGACGGTGTATGCTGAATAAAGTAATATATTATGTCTAATAATTATATCGAATATATACACAATAAATGAATAAAAGTAAGAGCTCTTCACATTCAGAAACAAACTTTGATTCATAAAGAATAAACTTTTCGTCCAAGTTTTTTTTTCGAGATTTGGGTTTTCTATATAACATTAACAAACTAAAATAATTTTTAATAAGAAATTTTTTTATAAAAAAAATATTTAGTACAGTATCTACAGTTTTAAATATAATTATAAAAAGATTTTTTTTAAAATTAGTTAAAACTTTTATTGCAATTATTGTGTCCTGCACCATATTAAATTTAATTATATAGCAGATAGCATATAGCGACGGGAAGAATTCACTCCTCAGGGGTGCGATGATAGGGTTTCTCTTCCCGTCACTCATATAGTAATTACAATTTTAGCACATCGTCACATGACTCCTTTTGGTGGTAATTATATTGCCAATTATATCAAATTCTTTAAAACTATATCAACTTTCGACTTCTTTTCGACTAAGCAATGGCAGACGACGAAGGAGCTAGTAATAGTAAGTTTTTTAAGTTTCGTCGTAGTAAGATTCACAAGATAAATGTTGGTTATAAAATTTATGATCTTTATGCTTGAGAATTAAGAATGTTGCAAATGGCTTACGAAAATATCCGCAATCGAAAAAAAAACTTAAAATACGCAAACTCTTATATAGTACTTTTTGACCACATATTTCTCTAAGATGAACTTCTTTTGGCTGCGGCAAAGCAAGACTCGGAAGATATTCTCGAGGATATATTTTCTCAACCGGGAAGTTATGATATAAATTACTCGGACAGTATAGGAAACACTGCTCTTCATTACGCGTATGTATTATTGATTAGTATGGATAATTATGAAAGTTAAATCATTATGGAAGATCAAATTCGATTTTACGTTTCGTTTCGGCGATTATTTGATTAGAGCTAAATGTGGTTCCCTCACTGCAGTTGATTTACTCTTACAGCAAGAAAATATTAATGTTGACGCACAAAATCGACTTGAGCTTGAAACCCCATTGCACTTGGCAGTTCGATATACCGATGATCCGTCGGTCGCTTTAGAAATTGGTATGTTTATATGAGATGGTCATATCGTAATATAGCAATTATTATCATTGAAGCCCTATCTTTGAATTATTGTTCGCAGTACAGTTATTAATCGATAACGGTGCGGATCCAAGGTACGATAGTATTGGATTTTTTAGACTTGATTGTTTTTAATAGTGCAAATTTTGATTTCTTCATTCGTTTATAAAGAATACAGAATAAGAACAAACAACGTCCTATACAATTGGTTGATTCAGGCAATCAAGAATTAAAGAATTTACTTCAAAAAGCGACTTTGGCGCATCAAGTGGTAAGCAACCGTAATTATAATTCGATTCAATTTACTTTATTAAAACTTGCTATGATTATTTTGTAGGATACAAGTGATATTGCGCAAGATGATTCGGACGAGGATGGTGATCCGCCAAGTGACCTTACCGAAGAAGAAGATGAATAATGTAATGAATGTAAAAAGGTTTTATACAAGCGATAAATTATTTAAATTTTTAACAGTCAACGGCCATATGCTTTAAATAAACTTTAATACCTCTAATG